TAGCACCTTAGCATAATGAATAGTGTTACTATGACTTAGTTTATTTGACCTGACAACAATGGTTATCAAGGGGCACAGGTCTCTGCTGCAGTCATTTAAAAGCTGAAAACTTTGGGAAAATTGGTCTAAAGGGAAATTTGGATGCTTTAAAACAACTCTAATCTCTGAATGTAAGACTATAAATCCACACGCCATCATAAATTTAAAATCACACAATTACTAACATGCAGTCTTATAGTTATTTGCATGCAGCAGCAGCTAGTGGTAGCACGTCCTGTACAGCCTGGGGCATTTCCTACAGGATTATCACTGTGTTTCTGCTTGAACAATCATTAATTCAGAGACTAGCTCATCGGTTTGGTCAGAAATAAACTCTGTTTTTTTATGAGGCCATTCATTGAGTTATCTGCAACAGGTAAGATATTATTTGGTCATATTCTTTGCACTCACTTTAAAATATTTGAACTATCCCTTTCACAAAAAATGGTAAACCAGTTTGGATGATGCAACTCTCAGTGGAAAACTTTTGAGTCCTTCCATGTAGCATCTAGCTAACCACAATTGCTAATGGTGCGCACACTTCCAAGGAATCCAAGATGGCGCTGGCTTCCTCCCACACATTATTGCTAAAACAGTTTTGACAAACAAGTTTCATGAAGATCCACCTCATAACTAACAGCCTTGCAGGGGGGGGGGGTGCTACAGACGGCGGTTTGTTGCTTTCAGACATGAGCGCTTCCATCGGATCTGGGCAGTCAACATCAGGCGGTCATAATGTTATGGATGATCGGTGAAGTCCTCCCACTTCCTATAGACTTATCGCCTCAGATTCGCCCCGTCTTGCCTTCTTCCCTGAAGCATGACAGAAATAGGCGTGCTGTTGGAACACAATGTGACGTTTTTATTGAACAGTTAACAACACATCCACACGTACACAAACAAAACGCACAGTGACAGACATCTAGTGATCACAGGGCATGAAAGGAAACACAGTGATGCCATTGTTGGAGTATCCAGGAGTAATTTAAGGAAATGTCAGCGCTGACAGATGACCACACAAAGAAAGACACAGGGATGCTTTTATATGAAAACATGCAGGAATAAAAGTGCCCGAGAGTAAAGGCCAAAAAAAGAAAAAAAAACTTGAGGAACAAACGTGCTTTAGCTTAAGTTTTAGGAGTTGCTAACTTAACAGTCGCTAACTTGTTTATCATATTCTGCCCTACATGTAAGGTTGAACTTGTTTTAAATAGTGTGTGCTGCAAGCGAAAACACTGCACCGTATCACTGCTCAGTCATGTTTTATCCATTACGGCTACTGTGGGAATCAGCCCACTCGCTGGCTGCTTTGTAATAGTYTATTTTCTTTGATATTTTTGCATTACCAGCACTTTGGCCCTGCTAAGATCATCATATGTGGTTTCACGGGCCACGAGTGACGAGTTCACAGGCTTCCAGAGAATAGTCAGGCAAACAGGTGCTATCACCAGGGATTCTCCGACTTCGACCTACTTTGTGTAATTACCGTTAAATGTAATTGTCATGCAGCGACGCGCCTTTATTAGATTAATTTTTCATAAATGTTTGCGCAGTGCACATTCAACTCTTTAAATGTTTTATTGTGTGAAGGGATCTGTTGTATATCATAACACAGGAAGTCATACTGAGTCACCTGATCTGCTTTTAAAGCCCAGCAGAAGCTTTTTTTATATGTCAGGGAAATTAAGGAATCAAAGTGCAGCTGCTCTGAAAGGCAAGATGGATGTCTTCTTTTCTGCAAAATGTGTTTGCTGGACGTTGAGCTTGCATGCAGAAAACTGAGGATCTCCTGTGTTTCTTCGAACACAATGGGTCCTTTCTTTATCTGGAAAGAGCTGCTACTCTAATAACGCAGCTCAGCTTAAGACTACTAACAGTAAACAGTGGTTCTAAAAAAGGTGGCCCTGACAAACATAAAGAAAGAGTGAGGGTTGATTATTGGGCCTGGATGTGAAGCAAGGGCGTTGAGGAAAAAAATCCAAACGCCCCCCTTCTATACCTCTGACTGTGTGGGATGTCTGCAAAAATCACCCTGCAGCTACAAGAAGTATAAACCTCTGTGGTATGAAGCAAAGTAGCACTTGGTGTTTTTGTCTCCCTCCCCCCCCAAAAAAAGGCAACTGGACTTTCTTTCTTCTTCTGTGGACATTTCACCTAAGCTTTCTCAGTTCAAACTGAACAGCGCTCCAGTTCCAAGCTTTAAAACTGCAGGGAGTTTCAAAAGGAAAAGATCTGGATTTTTATATGATAAAATACTATGAACAGAATTGCACCCTTAAAAAGACCATTAATCCTTGCATTTCAGACATGTTTCAAACTAACGCGGCAAGGTCTTAAAATTATCGGTTGATTTTCAAAACGTCTGTGACCCRAGCAAAAACAACACACCAACAGATTTCACTCACGACCATTCAGAWGTCAGACAGGAAATCACYCGAGACCTCTCAAGTTCAAACGTGAGTTCAGAGTAAATAAACTTGGCTGACGAGGAAGAAGCAATMATGATAGTATGTGGACTATTTTTAAKAAAATAAAACAAAAAGACATCTCTGATGTTTACTGAACTTTCTGGTGCACCATGACAGTTGTTTTGTCTTCTGTATTTTGTACCCCCCTCTGTGTTTCTGTCACCTGCTTTTCTGATTAAGGCTGAGTCACACTACAAGATTTTAAAACAGTCGGCAGATTTTCAAAGACTGAGAGAGCCCACACGTGATGATAAAAAATCATGGATYCACCAGGTTTGGTCCCACAGTGTGTGGTGTACAGCCACACAGCATCCACGAAAATATATTTCATTCATGAACATTCAGATGTCAGATATTAAATCACGCGAGACTTCCTGAAATCTTGRGAGAATTCAGATGTCGGAGGAAAAATCTCACGTGACCTCCAAAGAGACGTGAGTTCAGATTAAATAAACATTTGCGACGAGGAAGAAACAATGTTGATCGTTTGTGGACTATTCTTACCAGAGGAAAAACAATTCCATAGAACTTTTAACATCCAGCAGACTTTCTGCTGAGTCATGACAGTTTTTTTTTTTTTTGTCTTCTGTATTTTGGAATCCCCTCCATGTTTACGTCACCTCACTTTCTGATTGGCTACACGTCTCATTCAACAGGCTGCGAGCTCGGGTGAACACAACACACAGTGATATCYGGCRAAAAAATCAAACATGTTGAATATCCCTGACTTGAGGTRGGASCGGTCCTGACGTCCTTCCAAGCGGACTAGATCACTCTTAACTCACCACCCACGGCAGGAATATCTGCTATGATTATCTTTAGAGCCATCACGATAATCTGGACTTCCTTAAGCTTGTCGGAAGGTCAAAAAATCTGAATGATTTTCTTGTGGTGTGACACCGGCCTTAGGTGCACATCACATTTAACACATGCTGGGATATCGAGCCGAGACAATCAAACATGAATATCCTCGATGTAAGGTCAGAGTGGTCCTGATGTCCTCCCGAGCTGACTAAATCCCTCCTAACCCACCACACACAGCAGCAACATTTCATACGATTATCTTTAGAGCTGTCACGATAATCAAGGCATCCTTGAGATCGTTGGAAGGGCAAAATCGGGCCAAAAATCAGCACAATTATCTTGCCGTGTGAACCCGGCATAACTGAATTTTAGCCTGTATWAATGAAACAAACAAGCCAACAGGTAATTTGGTATTGCTGTGTGCCACATTGAACATAAAGCAGAGAAAACAATGACCAGAGCTTATTATATATGACCACAGCTGACAATAAAAATAACAAGTATAAGCTTAACAGGATTGTAACCAACCTCACAGMATGTGGACGCAAGAGGAAATGCAACTCCAGGTTGATCAGCAAGATTGACCAAACAGAAAGGTGCCAAGAAAACCATTTTAGCTGAACTCCAAGGCCAAGACGTATCACTTTCTGACACCCAGGATGGATCCACTCAAGGCAGAAAAACAATAAATCCAGACAGGAGTTCACCAAACTATACACTGACAAGCCTCAAAATCTTTAGGACCTATAAGACAAAACTAGAGGTTTTTCACAAGTCACAACAGTTCTGTTTTTATTTGCTATATTATTTGTTTCTGTACATGTAGAGACGTAGGAGGCTTCAGGACTCCTACATCAAGACCCTAATAACCTTCAGGTAGGAGAGGCAGTGTTACAGAGTGAGCGAACCAGGCAGCTCGCTGATTTGTACAAACATGAAATTTTGCACTTTTCAGTTTGAATTGAGAAAGCTCCTCGGTGAAACAGAAAACAAGAAAAGATCAGCTGATTAAAACAATCTCAGGATATCTGTAGAAAAGCGACACAAAGARGAGCACTTAGTTTGATTCTGGTGGACTGCTTCACCTCGTCTCATCTAGACAATAAAATAACTATTAGTCCACAATTCAGTTAATCTTTTGTTATTGTTGAAACCTTGCTTTTTTAAAATGGAGGCTTTATCAACTTTAAACAACATCCAGCCACAAACTTCCTGCCCACACTTGTCTCCAAGCAAACAAACTCACCCCTTCACCAAATGGACGCAGCTGTCARAAACATGCTTTCATTTCCACAGAGCTTCGTATAAATCTGTAATGACCGCACATGTTTAAACACTTATAATTTGATAAGCTGTGGGGTGTTTTTTTAAGGCTCGTATCTGCCATCTGCATTAGTCGTATGAAGGTAAAAGTGGTTTTGTTGAGCTTAAACTGCAATGAACGGCCYAACGTTTCCCTACATCAACATTCCATTCATTGTCAAGCACAATGCACCGTTCCACTGACTTATGAGGCCGGAGCCACATGTGTGGACAGTTGTTCTTCACGCGTGTTACCGCRGCTGCATGCCTGTTCGTGATGGCCTCTTTAAAATCTCTCAATTGGCAAGAGAACAGTCCCAGCGACAGCGATGATGCCGGCGCATCTGTGCCGCTTCGCCCGCCCSTTGCTTAGGAGTGGGTACTCACTGCTTTGGACGTTGACGATGCCGGTGGAGTTGTCCCTCCCCAGCGAGTTCTCCACCACACACGTGTAATTCCCAGAATCCTCCAGTTTCGCTCTGCTGATCTGGACTCTGGAGAATTTCCTGTGGGTGACAACACTCACACAGCTGAGTCAGGGGAACAGTGGGCAGGGAGGAAACGACATGGAAACGCAGCACGTGGAAAGCACGGGGACAGAATGGAAAACAGGTCGAGCACCAGCAGGCGGTTGAAAACACGTTCTTGTTAAAGGTGGCAGAAAGAATAAATACAGTGAGAAGCGAAAAGACGGGCTGTTTGAGTTGTTTTGCAGCCTCACCCTTTCAAAATTTATCAAACCATTAAAGGGTTTTCTTTTATTGTCTTCATGATCTCTTATTTTGGGCACTTTTGCTCTCATAAACAGCCTTGTTTAACTTCAGCTCACCAGCAGACATTGAGGGGTAATTACCGGATTGAAGAACGTTGAAGAGATTTCTTTCTTTCTTTTATTTATGTCATTGCTCTGAGCTGGTTGATTTAGTTATGTAACTTTTAATTTTCAGCTCATCATTACAAAAAAGAAGAAACATTTGCTGTCTGCTGCATTAGGTAGCCTTGATGCATAAAATCAAAGCTGCAAAATATTTCCCCCCTTAACAGATCCTTAAAAATACATCAGGACACCAAAAGCAAATATAGCTTTAATTTTTGTCCTAAATTTTGTTAAAAATGTCAATAATAGAGCTGAAGAGATGAAGTGGGGAGAAAAAAGGATGTTTTCAGTAGATTACACAAAGTGTCTTTAGTAAGAAATAAATGCTTTATTTATTATTATTTTAAAAATTTAAACAGACACCAATCATTCAGGGTCAGTTGCAGCAACTGGTAACACTATATCTATGGAACAACACGTCCACTTACTGCGTTTTTGGTTTTCCTCCTGTGATTTAAAATCACTTCATCACGTCAAAAACAACATGCCAAGAACGTTGCATAATCATATCCCAAGATAAGAGGAAAAAAAAGGGAAAAAAATCATCCTGCAAGTTGAATGATGGTGTTTCTGAAACATTTCCACAATGGCCTTGAGGTGCAAAGCACAACTGCACTTGACTAAATTTAACAAAACATTTCAATTTCTTTGAAAATATCTGGAAATGTTGAAAGAAAGGAAATAAAAAAGCCCGAAACTTGGAATGATTTTTATAAAGCAGAACCAAAACATACACAATACCAGAGCAAATTAAAAAAAAAAACGGTGTCCTGATACCAGCATGTTTACAAGTACAAAATGCCACAATACTCATAATCAATCCCAATCCCAGCATCAATACTGGAATACTGGTATTGATGCTCCAGTGAATGTGTTAAAGTTTACATTTCAAGTGAAAAGTTTGTCAGTTCCATGTTTAAATAAATTTATACACATTAAAAATATCTTATTTGATATTTCTAATTATTTTTAAACGAGCCACCGTGTTCTAAATGCAATAAACGTTTTTAAAGTTATTGTGTAATGTTCAAGTTCTAACTCAGTAACTACTCGGTATCGGTACTCATTATTAATAAGTACCTAAACTGAAGTACTWGTGAAAAACTGGTYRTGGGACACCCCTTTGTGTTGTCGTCTTGGCTGCCACAGTATGTTAGCTAAACTGAGTGTGTCAGGGATGTAGCTGTAAAACAACTGAAATGAGACATTTTTGTGATTCCTAACATCAACCAATGGTTAATTTATGGGTGTTTCATCAAAATCCATTCAGTGGTTTATGAGCTGTTTTGCTCACAGATGGACAAACGTTGCCTTTTTTTGTAGTTTGGGGGCATTTTCATTGCTACTCACCATGAAGAAAAGGCAATCATAAATGACTGTTGGCAAAGACAATTACAAAATGTTGTTTTATCTTATGCTGTTGTGCTTTGACCCTTAGGACCACCATTCAAGACCATTTACCACTTGTTAGACTTTGTTAAACAAATACGAAATCACAGTAATATGTGATCAGGCTGAAGTGAAGGTTGATGCAAATTATCTGCCAATAAATGAATGTTTCATCTGTAAATGTCGCAAAAAAATGATGTGGAGGACGTGTAAACCTACATTTTATTTTACTCTGTGACAAGTTTACAGGATGCGGGTGCTTTGTACTCACTTGGAATTCTTTATTTTAATTTTTCCGCTTTTCTTCAGCTCGTTGCCGTCTTTGTACCATGTGTAGGAGGGGGCGGGGTTTCCCGTGGCCTCGCACTTCACTATGAGCTTGCTTCCCTCGTTCACTAACATTGGATTCTTGAGGGGTTTTAACTTTGGAGCCGCCGCTAAAACAAAGAAGAAGAAAAAAAGGAAGGGAAATGAAAAAATAAATAAATTAAAAGCAACAACTTTAAGGCACAGTAAAGAAAACCTTCATCACTTTTGATTTGTGTATTATTGTGAGTTTTTGGAGAAGACAATGGAGAGGAGAGACAAAAGGAGACGAGCCAGTAAGCCTCTCAGCAGATGAACATCAGCCAGCAGCTCTCTCAGGTGACCTCCAGATGTGGTCACTGGAGACATCATCAGCTTTGCCTCTTGGACTAATAAACACGCTCATATTCAGTCTGGCTCCGCTGCTATGAAAACACCTGAGGCAACAGTTAGCGAGCATCCACCAGCGGACAAAGAAACGTCTGTAACCACAAACTCACACAGTAAAAATGTTGACATACCTTCATAGCTACCTGGTTTTGATGCTTAGAGCATATTTTTTTAAGAAACACAAAAATTCTTACTTTGACCTCTCGTAAATGGAAAATTCCAATCTTTAAAACTAGAGTTATGTGTCTGTGTGTCTGTGGGGTCGTGTGTGCGCATATTTTGACCTGTTTTAGATTGATTTTTTGAACAAACTCATTTTAGAGAGAAAAAAATGCGAACAGTTAAACTTAGCTGGGCTAAGTTTTGAGATTTGCTTTTACACACCAGCAACCCTCGTTAGCTTACGCCTCATCTAAACTAACATAAATGACAAGTTGTGCATATTGTCTGTAAATTACACAAATTTTCCTCTATTTTGCATGTATTTAAAAAAAAATCTCATGGATTTTTGCAAAAAACCTGCCCTCACGTCCTCTCCCTGCAGCCCTCAGTGTGTTAACACCCCACCCCTGTTCTATCATCTAAGAGTACTCTGGATTTTTTGTAAAAAATTCTGCTAGCTCGTCAGTCCAGTCAGAGCTAAACTCTATTTTATTCCTAACAAAATTCATTCAAAGAGCTATCTACAACAGGTAAGATATTAACTGTTCATGTGATATTTAGTAAAGACAGTTGCACTGAAAAATGAACAATTTTGAATAATTTCCTGGAATTATATCTCTAAAGATTAAAAAAAATGTTTTAATTGACACATAAAGAGCGATCTGTATCCAAACTCACTCAAACACAAACGACACACAAGACGACACGCAGCAACACCTGCCAGATAACAGCTGCACACGTGTTGAGCTGAAGACTCATCCAGGATAGAGAGACAGAGAGTGAGAGGGAGACAGAAAAGGGGGTCGGCAGGGGTCAGCTGGGGGCTGGCTAAGATCCCCCCCCTGCACACCCACACACTTTCCCTCCATGAGTAACGTTCTCGATTTCATGCACATGCTGAACTGAGCTGTCCTACAAATTACAGCTGCCTGCTGAGCGTTTTCCCCGCTGACAGTTGGATGAAGACAAACAAATCGTGACAAGCGGAATGAAGTTCACACAGGTAACGGCTTCAATTAAACACGGAAATAGCCTCGCACCAATATTGCCCCACCCCAACCCCCCCACCTCCCTCCAGTTTGTCCTCTTTTTGAAGAYACTGTCCTACTTCACTGACCTGATAAAGGAGACATGTCTGCACAAGAAAAAAAAAAGAAAAAAGAAGTGATGCGGCAGTTTTTCACTCTCTTTGTTCTGACAGATTTGGGGTGCAGCGCAGAAAGCATCTGTAAAGACATTTTGACACTTCAGGTTTGTGAGCGTCAATGACAAATAATAATAATAATAAAAAACTGATTCTTTACAAATGAGTCTGTTCTGCAGTGRTTGACAGAGTTGTCAGTTCCTGAGCAGGTTACTGTTGTTTGAGATGTCTTTAAAACAGGACGTAAAGCAAAATTTGTGAGCATATTTTACAGGCTGACAGTTATAATCTGCTTACTTGGCTCTAATCCACTGACAGGAGACAGAGGTCAAAGCTCTAAAAACTAACAATGGATCACTTTGGTCCCAAGCAATAAACAACCTTTTAGTTTCTGCTGATGAAAATGACAGCTTGCTATAACTCATCCCTATACAAACATGTGAGATTATTTATGATTGTTTCAATTGATTTAATTTGTAGAGTAATATTATATGCTATCATTCTGGATYGTTTATTATCACTGTATCAGTGTGTGCAATATGAAGAGTGTTTAAATGCCATGAACTCCAGGCTGTTATAGACCACATGCTATGAATCATGRATTTGACCAATCAGGAGGATCCTGGTTTGGATGATGTTGGCAAAGGTGCTAAAACCAGTCTCTCACTGGGCTATGACTGTTGTTGAGAATAAATGAACAGAATTTCTGATGGTGTTTTGAAAAGTTTTAAAATGTTTTGCAAATGTTCTCTATTTCCTCTCGTGAGTTGCAGAGCCTCCCTTTCATGTTGCAAGCTTGAAAGATTTGCACAACTACTCTCAAAAAAGTCCCAGGGTTGTCAGAAATGGATGGAAGACAAAAAATAAATTRGGGGGATTTAAGACACTTTTGGAGTTTTTGCATTGCTCGGCRCGGCCCAGGTTTTCCCTGGTTCTGCACAGCCTTGATTATTTCGGCATGCTACCAGGATTGTCATAGCAAGGACCCTCGAGGTTGGCGTGATGTCCTTTTGTTTAATTGGTGACACCTCTACTCATAGGATTATAAATCCTTCTTTCTCTCATCAAAAGAAATTTATAATAAAGTGAGCGAAGGCTCAAAGAAACAGCAAGAACGGTAAGGTAAGCTAATGCTAGCTTGTTTACAGATGTTTTAAGTAAGGTTGGGTGAAATTGTATTGCATGCAATAAAACGTGAACAATTATTCTTAGTGACTTTACAATTACTGCCATGTGATGATGGCATAATTTTGTGTGCGGCATACTATCACTATTAAGCGTGCATGTGAGCCCAAAAGTGYAAGGTGGAATGGAGCAGCTAATGCTAACCTTCCAAACTTGTTTAATTACATGAAACACTGACATAAACCAGAGTYCAAGAAACAGACCAAGGCCACAACGTTGYCTACAACTGTCAGCTAATAATCATCTTAATACTCATTATTGGCTAGATGCCACAATTAATCATGAAAAATGTTTCTGCCAATACCACACAACCTTAGTTTTATGTTGAGCAGACAACCAGCCACTGAAAATAGTTAGTGGTCAACTTTCAAATTACCGTAGGCTTAGCAGCCAGGCCTGTATYGCACCCCAGCTTTCACGTTTAGAAGTGGGTTATAATGCCTAATGCAAATATGCAGGTCAAGTTTGAAACCATGTGCGCCATCCATTCATCCATCCATCCATCATCCATCCATCCATCCATCCATCCATCCATCCATCCATCCATCCATTATCTATGCCCGCTTCTTCCTTTCAGCGTCACTGGTGCCCATGTGTGTCAAAATGGTGACCAAAAACTTTTACGTCATTCGCAAGTGACTGTTTTTTTTTGTATTTTTTTTTTGCTGTTATGTACCTATAARCGTGTTGTAAATACAATTTCAGAGTAAAATAAAGTGAAAACTCGTGTGCGTTCTTGCAATTTTGTGTCTCAAACTAGTCGCCCGCCAGCTGAGATCCAGGCTGAAAGCTGTTGCAGTGTTGAAAGGGAAGCAAAGAGAGGATAGGAGAATATGTGGGTTAATCACAAGTAATAATGTCATCACCATATTCAACATCATTGCGGCAGAGTGTTTTCCTCAATATGCAGCCCTAGTTCCTTYCAGAAGAAACATCAGTATAACTTAAATTGATTGTTTTAACGTGGAGCAGCACTGATCGAATGCATCTCAAAGAGAAGACTACATTTTATTCAGGTAAGCTTTTTTATTACATATTTAAAGTATAAGCCCTGTTTTTCTTTGGACTAATAAATAGCTAAATGTTTGATCCAGAATAGCTCACAGATCAGTGGAAAAGCAACAATTTTTAGTCCATCAGAAGCCCTTTGTTACTAAAATTATCCTGCTTTTCTGTCTGCAGACAGCCTTCTGTTGGACAGTGTGACTGAAGATATTTGTAGTGTTCAGACAACAAAGACTCTAACGTGCTGTGATATGATGCAGATGAGCACTTAATAACATTTAATGAGCTTTTAGTCTCAAGACAGGTTTTTGCGCTGCAGTCGCTGGAGGAGACTCTTCAGGATTTTAATGTCCCAGGAGTCCGGGGACAATAAAAATCCCATTTATGCGATGAAGCAGAAACGGGGCCCCGCTAAAAGTTATATCATAATATAGATTGAACATGTATCTCTTTATTTGACATCAAGTCTGAGAGTAATTTGGGTTTAGTGATGGCCAAGAGCCACGTTTTTCTTCTGTTAAACAGCCTAATGTGCTTGATGGGACTTAATGTTAAACAGTGCTCAGTGTCCTGTGGTCTGACCTCCTGACCCCCGCTTTAATTTCACATTACACTCCCTGAATGGATTTTAACACCATCACATTGACTGTAAGACAGCATTGTAGATGTGTGCACACGTCTAATGTCTGATAAGCATCTTCAGACGCCGTCATAAACTTTTATATCAATCTAATTAGAAAATGACTGCCTTCTGCCYCTCTAACAACCTAAAATATACAGAGCAGAACCTACAAAAGCCTCTAAGAGGGTTCCAAGTCTGTATAATTGAACTTCTGCACATGATTTCTACACACACACACTTAACTGTGCCAGACTAAGCCTATGCACACCGCCTGAGGAAAGCCTTGTCAGTCACAGAGAGCTTCAGGAATGAGGCCGTGCCGACTGTACACAGAAATGTTTAAGTACTTCGTCTGGACGCAAAGTCTGTCCTTGCCGCGCACATGAACCCGGTTTTTTTGTCCTTGAGTGGAGAAGCTGCAGAGACTTTGGGGGCCGCGTTTTTCATCAGCTCGTTAAGCCAGATGTGTGCGGGGGGCTGAGATTTTTGATGGTAACATAAAACCCCCCAGAAAGATTAGCCCTGTCCGATCGAACTGTGCGGTTAAATAAAAAAAAATTACATATCTGTAATTATCAGCTTCTCACCAGAAAACAACAGTCGGTATCGTTGTAAAATACAAC